CGTTGTCCACGACGCCACTCAAAGGCTATGCGACGAGTTCCCAACCCACTGCGGATGTAGCCAATCCGATATTCGCACGGGATACAGCATCTACAGACCCGACGTCACCAGTGAGCACTGCTTCGGAGAGCCCCCGTCTATTTCTGTCAGCCCGGTCCGCCGATGTTAGGAATAGGTGAATTTGCCAAAGAGGGCACGGCAAGCCAAGGCCGAAGACGCAGATGATGTTAGGGCGCAGACGGGCCATAACACATGGTTTCTGTCAATGCTGTCACACGACTTGCCAGCCGAGCAGAAAATAGACGAGCGACAGTATGGTGAGGCAGACGTATCCCTCGCTGCGGTGACCGAGACGATAGCGACGGTGCTCGATCTTGTGTACGTACTATGTGCTGAAGAGTACGGCTATTCCGGCGAAGATGGACGCCAACTTCTTGGCTGGCGAGAGATCTGGAAGCGTTGCAAGATTGATTGATTTGCGAACGACTGGCCCCTCAGCTTTCGTCTTGGACGTTCCTTCTCGCGGCCCTATGGATTTTCTCAGGCAACTTCTTGCGTATGTCGTCCTGACTCAAGCCTTGGAACTCCGGACGAAAGAGTATCTCTTTATGTCTGATGGAGCCACCGTCGTCCGGTGCCGAGCAGGACCAGTAACGCAGCTGTCCGCTTCCATCGAGGCATCCGTACACAGCTTGCCGCTGGGCGCCCGAAGATGCTAGCCAGCCGACTTCTGCGTACCGTAGATGCGTAGGCCTTCCAGTCGGTACTCTTTGGGATGGATTTCGTCTCGCTTTGTGCTTTTTGTGCGGTTGTCGTGAGGATCGCTTTTTGTCGTTCGGCTGTAGTCGGGGACGTTGGTGCAGTTCGGGCCGAGCTGCTGCTTTCTGGACTATGAACTTGTCGGCGCATGTTCGCTATGCCCACACAAGACGTACCTGGTCTTGTATATAGGAAGATCACGTCGTTGCCGGAGTCGTGGCCCAGTGGTAGTGTCCTCGTCGTTGCGGATGCCGCGGCTTTTGGTAATGCGTTTGTGGTAGATGGTGATGTGCTCCACACTGGGCCTCGAGCCTAGACATATAACATCATCGTGGTGATTCTCATCCAAGCTCAACGCCGTCGTCCTTGTTGCCGATGCCATTTCCATCGACTAGGTGTCTATGGTCTGTGGTCTGTGATACATGCTGATATGAGGCTGCACGAGGGTCGCCACTCCAAAGGCTGGTGTATTCGACGGGAGGTTGGAGAAGCTCGGACCACGTCGGCCAAACACCAATCAAGGCAGGCGGGATTCGGTCTCCCTACCTCCATGCTGTCTGCCGGTCTGAGAAACACTCCAGTTCACGCTGTTTCTGGGCACACGATTACTCATAGGGCATCCATGGAATTGGCCCAAAGTCAACGGCTACCTTGCTTGAAAGGCTGAGCAAAGGATCAGCATGACAGCCATCATCAGGAAAGAGCATGTTAAACAAAACAGCGTGACGGAGTGCTATATTCGCAATGCACCGACGAAGCGCAGCGGCATGGATTCGCCTGCAATGATGCTGCGTTGAAAGATAAGCCTCAGCCCAAAAAAAATCATTCTTCTTAGCTACGCTACGCATATCAATTCAGAGCCACCGTCATGCGCCGTTCTCTCTTCTATCAAAGGCACACCCTACCGCTTGAATCTCGGCTGCTTACGGCTTGCGCCCTTCTCCTCGTCGTCGTCGTCGTCCCGTCGCCGTTTCTTGCGATGATCGGAGGTGCCGAAGCACTGCTCGAGCTTTTGGCTCCGCACCAGCTGCTGCACGGTAAACGGCGAGCCACTGATGTCGTGTCCCTCGTCGGCGGTTTCCCATAGGCAAATAACGAGCGACTCCTGCAGACTGGCCACGCGAAACTTCACGTCCAGACGGAAATGACCATCCGGGAAGGCCGCCGGGTATGACGCAAAATCATAAGCTA